AGTGATTAATGGGAACAAGTAATTATGAAAATTATTGTTCGTATTTTTTTTATTGCTTTGTCACATTTCAAGTGCGCTTTGATCAGTACCTATATAAGACGCAACGCTATCTAAACTTCTGGTAATTCATTTTCTGGCATTTCAGAGGTACAACATATGGTTCTGCTTCCGTGCAATTTAGAGATCGCACACGTCTATTTGGATATCAGGGTGATCGTTGGAATAAAACGAAATTCGGTGCTCTCGGGAAAAAAGCTGGAACTCTAATGGCTGCTGACAGTGTCGTACCAACTTGTTTTTGAGTGGGGGGGAAACCAGACCCCCCCACCCCCCGGGTCGCACATTTTTACTAGTGATGGGCCGAACGTTTGCCGAATCTTAGGATTCGCCGGAGCCGAACTTTTGACGAACTTTTCTAAAGATTCGGCAAAGATTCGGCAAAATACACTGTTACCAGACTTAACGTTCATATTTAGTTTTTTCTGACGAAAAAAAAAAGATTTTTTTAACCTAAATACAACATGTAGTGCCCATTGACACAGTTATTACTAAATAAGGTGATATTCTGCAAGATAATCGTACCGGTGTCGGTTTTGGTATTTACTGGGAATTTAGTGTCTGCTTGCGGAAAGTGGCGTGACAAAGGTGGTTGGGTATTGATTATAATGCAATTAAATGCAAAGGTGCAAGCGAGCTGGACAAGAATGACGAAAATAATCCCTGGAGAAGGGGAACAAGAGGGACAAAGGACAAACATATGTTTGTCCTTTGTCCCTCTTGTTCCCCTTCTCCAGGGATTATTTTCGTCATGGTTGGGTATAGCCGGCGCAGTCACGAATCGCGCTACGAGAGTTTTGGTTTTGAGGCTTCATCAGCGCACGCCTGCAAGTATGTTTACATTGTTAAAATAAAAGCAATCACCGCGTTCTTACTTCCTATGGGAGTTATCGTTTCGTGCGCGAAAACGAATGCAACAGTTGCTGAAACTTCACCAGAAGAGATAACAATATTGTAAATATGCATGTTTTTCGATTTGAGTAATTTGACGTCAGCTTTGCATGAAAGTGTGCGTTCTATATTCGTAGCGTCTCGTTTTCAACCTTTAAAATTCCGGTTGCTGGTGTTAGGACACACACTGACGTTTAGGAAGAGGGGAAGAGTTGGGAATGGTCGGATGTGCAACGTCGAGCATGATAGTTCCGTGTTTGGTTTTATGCAGATACATGAAAATCGCGAAATAACGCGAACTGAAACGCAATATTATTTTGTTTTGGTACAAACTACTTGTGAGCCGAAAACAGGACTGTTATGGCGAGGATGCCAGCTGCATTTTATACATGTCCTGGCCAGCTCTCGTGACTCTGCCCGTTTGACAGCAGTGGGCTGTGCACACTGAGCGTCAGTTGTCAGTCAATGTTTCAACTACCTCGTTGCATCAATGAAAAGGTCAAATTAAAATCACGTTTTCCAGATTGCACCGTATCATTTGTCACTTGCGCAGTGCGTAAATTACTGGTCGATCTTCTGTTCTTGAGGCAGACAACATTGAAGAGAACCACGCTCGCAAAAACTCAGAAACGCACAGTTACCGCGTTGCCTACTCTGCACCTCGCCGTAACCGCTGGTTGTACTAAACTCTACGATGGTGACCGCACGACTGCACGTGCCGATCTTTGCTGAATTTGAAGTTCGCCAGATTCATTCCATCACAAATTTTTTGTGGCGCAGACGAGTGACCCCCTAGCAACGACGTTCACGACGGATTGGCTGCTCGGCAACGCGAGGGAACTTAAAATTTCGGATTCGGACGGCGCGTGTACACTCGAAGCGCGTTAACCCCACCACACCGCCTGCGTTCACGCCGCTTCGCGGCGGCAGTATGCGGCTACTAATTACAAAACTTTAACCCATTTAGCCCCCCCCCCCCTTTCCCCCCCCCCCCCCCCCCCCCCCCCCGTACATGCCGCGTTGCGGCGTCCAGCCGGCAACCCAAGCCCCGCTGTCCCATACAAATCTTACAAACTAATAGCACACAAAGAAATGACTTTCTTAACATTGCTGCTATTGAAAGAGCTTAGTTATTTTATAAGTTCGTATATTTATGGTCATGAGTAGGCCGACTTGTAAGGTACAGTGCTAATCACACTTGTCTATAACGCGCGGGCGTGCAGCTTTCTCCGGGGAGCGCTAGCCTGGTGGCATTCGCGGAAACTAAGCTAGTCACGTGGCGCAACATGGAACGGCCCGCTCGAGGGGTGTTCTGCCCACTCTATCAGCTGGCGGCGAACGCGGAAGGCTGCTCGCACGCTTTTTACAAACATCATTACTCGAACAATAAACAGACTAAAGCATGATGGCGTATCAACGATGTCGTCATCAAAAAACAAAAATATATCATAAAGCACTTTATTTTTATCGCTTATCAAGCTGATAGAGTGGGCAGGACACCCCTCGAGCGGGCCGTTCCATGTTGCGCCACGTGACTAGCTTAGTTTCCGCGAATGCGACCAGCCCAGCGCTCCCCGGAGAAAGCCGCTCGCGTGCGCGTTATAAACAAGTGTGATTAGCACTGTACATAAGTGACCTTACAGACAACACAGAAACTTCAGGTGCATCACGTGATTAATGACTCTAAATGAATAAAAAAAGATAAGGCTTCAAATATTTTCTTTTTTTCGTGTACAAAAAAGTGAAAGCCGTTTACAACTCCCTGTAATGCCGAATTGGACGGCAGCTCTTGAGGAGGAGGAGGGAAGGGCACTGAGGGCCACGTGTTCTCGAAGAGGGGGTCAGGTGACCCCCCCCCCGAGGTCACGTGACCTCGGGGTGTCACGTGACTCCCCAGGTCACGTGACCCCCCCCGGTCACGTGACCAAAATTTCCCCGCGAGATTCAGCGGGGAAATTTTTTCCGCTAGATTTAGCGGGGAAATTGTTTCTGCTAGATTTAGCGGGGAAATTTTTTAGAGCGCAGCTCTTAGGGGCCCGTTTCCGGCTTGAGCGGCGTCGCCGTCGGCGTCGCCGTCGGCGTAACCGCGCGGTGCATCATGGGAAATGTCCCATAATGCACCGCGCGAGCCCCCCACCAAGGTCACGTGACTCCCCTGAGGTCACGTGGCCCCCTCCTCGAGGTCACGTGACCCCCGCCGATGTCGCGTGACCCCCCGATGACGTCATCGTCACTGATGACGTCACCGGCATCCACATCGTCATCGTCATCATCACTGATGATGTCACCGGCATCCACATCGTCATCGTCATCATCACTGATGACGTCACCGGCATCCACATCGTCATCGTCATCACTGATGACGTCACCGGCATCCGCATCGTCATCGTCATTATCACTGATGACGTCACCGGCATCCACATCGTCATCATCACTGATGACGTCACCGGCATCCACATCGTCATCGTCATGATCACTGATGACGTCACCGGCATCCGCATCGTCATCATCACTGATGACGTCACCGGCATCCACATCGTCATCGTCATCATCACTGATGACGTCACCGGCATCCACATCGTCATCGTCATCATCACTGATGACGTCACCGGCATCCACATCGTCATCGTCATCATCACTGATGACGTCACCGACATCCGCATTGTCATCGTCATCATCACTGGTGACGTCATCAGTGACGTCACTGATGTCGTCACCGGCATCCGCATCGTCATCGTCATCATCACTGATGACGTCATCAGCGACGTCACTGATGACGTCACCGACATTCGCATCGTCATCGTCATCATCACTGGTGAAGTCATCAGTGACGTCACTAATGACGTCATCGGTACCCGCATCGTCATCGTCACTGATGACGTCATCAGTGACGTCAGTGATGACATCATCGGCATTGGGGGTCACGTGACCCCCAAGGTAACGTGACCCCCCCCTGGTTAGTTTAACCCCCCCCCCCCCAGTGCCCTTCCCTCCTCCTCCTCAAGAGCTGCGCTCTAATTCGGCGTTATAGGGAGTTGTAAGCGGCTTTCATTTTTTTTTCTGCTAGATTTAGCGGTGAAATTTTTTCCGCTAGATTTAGCGGGGAAATTTTTTCCGCTAGATTTAGCGGGGCAATTTTTTCCGCTAGATTTAGCGGGGAAATTTTTCCGCTAGATTTAGCGGGGAAATTGTTTCCGCTAGATCTAGCGGGGCAAATTTTCCGCTAGACCTAGCGGGAAATTTTTCCGCTGAATTTAGCGGGGAAATTGTTCCGCTAGATTTAGCGGGGAAATTTTTCCGCTAGATTTAGCGGGGAAAATTTTCCGTTAAATTTAGCGGTGAAATTTTTCCGCTTGATTTAGCGGGGGAAATTTTCCCGCCAGATTCAGCGGGGAAATTTACCCATAATGCACCGCGCGGATACGCCGACGGCGACGGCGACGCCGCTCAAGCCGGAAACGGGCGCCTAAGAGCTGCGCTCTCTTAAAAGAGTTCTGGTCGCTTCGTCTAAGGCGAATTCACATTTTTAGAGCGCAGCTCTTAGGCTCCCGTTTCCGGCTTGAGCGGCGTCGCCGTCGCCGTCGGCGTCGCCGTAACCGCACGGTGCATTATGGGTAAATTTCCCCGCTAAATCTAGCGGAAAAAATTTCCCCGCTTAGCGGAAAAATTTCTCCGCTAAATCTAGCGGAAAATTTTCCCCGCTACATCTAGCGGAAAAAAATTTCCCCGCTAAATCTAGCGGAAAAATTTCCCCGCTAAATCTAGCGGAAAAAATTTCCCCGCTAAATCTAGCGAAAAAAATTTCCCCGCTAAATCTAGCAGAAAATTTTCCCGCTAAATCTAGCGGAAAAATTTCCCCGGTAAATCTAGCGGAAAACATTTCCCCACTAAATCTAGCGGAAAAATTTCCCCGCTAAATGAGGGGAGGAAGAGGAGAAGGAGGAGGAGGAGGAGGGGTCTACCCTCCCCTCAGTACCCTTCCCTCCTCCTCCTCAAGAGCTGCGCTTTAAATCGGTGTTACAGTTAGTTGTAAACGGCTCTCACTTTTTTTTTATCTGTGTTTACGCGATAAATAACAGGCTGAAACATTTTGAACCATGCAAAACACACACTGCTCGCAAGTAGAACCCCTGCAGGTCTATGGACAAGCCAAATGAACACACGTCGGTGCTCGAGTATTTCGTTTAAACCCCTTTCACAACTATGATGCATGTGAGGGTTTTGATCACTTGCGATGTATCTTCCGATGATTGTATAAATTGGTATCAGCCGCAAACGCTCTGCCGCAGGTCTCGCACTTGAACGGCTTCTCTCCGGTGTGAGTCCTTTCATGATTCGCCAAATGGGTTTTCTGAGTGAACGCCCTGCTGCACGTGTTGCACCTGTACGGCTTCTCTCCGGTGTGAGTCCTCACATGCATCGTCAAATCGCATTTCTGAGTAAACGCCCTGCTACAAGTGTTGCACTTGAACGGCTTCTCTCCCGTGTGAGTCCTCTCATGACTCGCCAAATAGGTTTTCTGAGTGAACGCCCTGCAGCACGTGTTGCACTTGAATGGCTTCTCTCCGGTGTGAATCTTCTCATGAACCGCCAAGTCGCGTTTCTGAGTAAACGCCCTGCTACACGTGTTGCACTTGAACGGCTTCTCTCCCGTGTGAGTCCTCTCATGACTCGTCAAATGGGTTTTCTGAGTGAACGCCCTGCAGCACGTGTTGCACTTGAACGGCTTCTCTCCGGTGTGAATCTTCTCATGAACCGCCAAGTACGGTTTCTGAGCAAAGGCCCTGCTGCACGTGTTGCACTTGAACGGCTTCTCTCCGGTGTGAGTTCGAACGTGAGCCTTCAAGGTACCCTTATGCGAGAACGTTTTCTCGCAAACATCGCAACTGAAGGGCCTCTCTCCAGTGTGAGTCCTCTCGTGGATGACGATACCCGCTGCAGAAGGACATGAGTAAGGACAGAAGCGGCACCGATGCTTGTCCGGGTTTCGGTGCGTTTGCTGCTTTTGTGGGTTGGTGGGGGGAGAGGTGTCACCCCTGCGGCTGTCCTGGTCGAAGGTATTCACTTTGTCGCCAGAGTATGCTTCGATCAGGTCTGTTGGGATGACAGGACAAAGCAAGAAATGTCGGCGCTGTTTTTGTTGTTCTGAACATGGGAATTTTGAGTACCTAGATGAACATGGTCCAGAATACCTACATCATGCCGGTGCAGCCTAGAGTAGGTATTCATTCATTTGAGATGTTAAAAAGGTTCAATCGTAATGCTTGTAAAGGTCTATAGGCAATCGTTTAAGATTCTACTCTGGCAGCCCCATGCTGCGGGAGCTGTGGTGGCTTGCGCGTTCTCCTAACCAAGTGCGGAACGAAAGTCAAGCCGCCGCGGCTGCTGCTGCACAGTGTTGGCGGTAACGTGTTACAAGTAACGTCGTTACCGGTAGCGCCTTTTTTCTTTCAGTAACGTAGTGATGTATTCATTAGTTTTCTAAATCTACAAATTTTCTAAATTTTTCCAATCTTTTCCCCACGAAAAAATTTCCGCTTTAGAAAAACCCCAACCAGCGCCTGTCATGTTAAAGTCGAAACACGCTGTCGCCAAAAGAAAACAAAAGCGCTGTTACCGTCAATTTATAAATAAAAAGTAACGCAAAAGTAACGTGCGTTACGTTCTGTCGGCGACAGTATCGCGTTCCTTTATTTCGCAAGTAACGTAGTTCTTTACTTTTTTACGGTAACGGCTACAACACTGCGGCTGCTTACCGCTGCCAGTACGAAGCGCCGGGTGATAGCGTGTTGACATTCATAATGATCGCGACTGTGTTTTAAGTGACGCTGGAAGGGTCATTCACACACCCACAGATTATTAGGTTACACAAAATAGCATTCAATAATCTCGTGGAACAGGGATGGGCAAAATACATGCAAATATGTATCGAAATACAAATACAAAATACTTCGTCAAAAATTTATTTAATTACAATTCTAATTACATTTCCAAAAAAGCATTTAACTACAAGATACAAATACAGTCAAATGTATTTGGTCTCCTCCAAATACTGTTTCAAATACATTCCTCAAAATTTGCGTCAGCGACAATTGTATTTGAAATACCCACGTTTTAATATTTAAATACACACTTCAAATACATTACCCAATTTGTAATTAAATACAAATGCAAAATACACAAAGTATGCAAAATACGTGTTTCAAATACTTGTATTTGAAATACTGCCCATCCATGTCGTGGAATATTCGTTGTGCACCTTAGAAACTTGAAAAATCGCTAAGGTACACAGTAATTATTTTACGAGTGATTTGAAACAGCAAAAAACGCGGTTCTATATCGACAATGATGTGGACATTTGCCATCCTAGAGCTAAACTTCTAAAGCAGGGGTGGCCAGGCTGACCCGGCCTAAGAGCCGCAAACGAAAACCCCCAAACTTCCAAGAGCCGCAGGGGGGGAGGGGGGGGGGGGGGGGGCAGGCAAACTTTTGTCCAGTGCAGTAAACGAAACTCGAGCTAAGTCAAAAGCAGTCCGACTGTACGTAAGGTAGCAGTAGCACAAGGCTACCAAACTGCAACCTGTCTTTCGATTTAAAACGCGGTCCATTTCACTTTTTATGGGGGGGGGGGGGGGGGGGGGATGGAGCCGCGAGCCGCACTTTAACAGGCGAAGAGCCGCAGCTCTAAAGCTTCAATCATTTGGAACAGCCAAACATATTTTGGGCTATTTCATGCGTCGAAAATTATTTATAGCATTTGAGAAAGCTACTCGATCAACCGGCACTGAAGGAAAAAATACATTTTTGTAATATAAATAAACAACTCGGCATGGTACATTTCTCTGATATCAAATACTATGTATGCGGTGTAGTTTTTCGGTTTGGTGCAGGCCGCTAATTAAAACTTAATGAAGTTTCCACGTGGAGAAAACTTTGTGTACCACATCAGACTCCTTACGTTTTCCACCTTCTAAAAAACCGAGCCTACAAAAAGGTTTTCTATCCGTGTGGGACCGTTCATGAATCTGTGAGGATGTGCTAAGAGGGTACGAGGCTGTATGACTGTTTTCCCGTGTGCTTCTTCTCATACCTGGTGTTGTTAGTTCCGTGGGCACCATAAGATTGGCGGCAGAGGTCGCACCGCCGTCCGTCCTCTCCTCCTGGTCCATCTTCAATGGTTGCCTCTGCAATTCGGTTCTTTGGAAGGAGAGCTCCGCCCCCTTGTCCTCGCAGTCCGTTCTCTGCCATTCGGAGTCGGATGCTGCGTGGGCAAGTTCTGTTAGGAGTGAAGATCAAATTTTGTTTTGTTCATTTTTTTATACTATACCAATACAGAAGCTCAATCACAACGAAACTTAAGGAACAAGCAAACATAAACACATCATGCTGATGAAGTAGAGAAATTCAGGGGTTTACATTGATATTGCGGTGTAATTCAAAAAGTAAAATAATAATATCACGATCAAACACCCGCACCATAACTTGATACTGAATACACCAAAAACGTCGACTGTAAAAATGCACGTGAATCAAACATAAAAGTGATCCTTCTCTATTAATACGTGCTTCGAAGGTTTTACTTCACCTTTAAACATACGGTAAAAGATTACTTCGATACAGATCCTTCGATACAGATCTACATAAATCATGAAAGACACAACTGGGTACGATCAAAGAGCGTGGTTTAGTTACATCGCTCCTGCTCTGTAGTGCTGAAAAAAGGCAGGCATGCCACAAAACCAACAACTGCACGGTATATCGCCGCCACAGGTTTTGAGAATTACACGTGAACAAAATGGACATGGTGTGTCGGCGAACGAAGGTAGGGACGGGAATGGAAATGTTGCATGTAGTTGGCTGAGCTGTGGCCATTCCCTATTTGATCCGACTAGTAGGTCCCATTTATCTGGGGAAAAACGTAGCCCAAGGTTCTGGCACTGCCATAGGTTGGTCTGGCTGGTGGCTGGCACTCTTTCCCAGGCAGCGAAGGATCGCTCACGCTTGCTTTAAGAGGATTCCCGGATAGTTCGGCCTGCAAAGTTTAGAAGGATGAGGGTTAATAAACAGTCGCCAACACAAAGCTACTTTACCTGCCCTCAAATATCATCACATTGGATGAGTGCAACTAAAACTGAAGGATACCAGTGCCTGGAATTGGTCCAGTTGGTTGTTCATTACTTGATTAAACTGCAAAGTAAATGATTATGAATTACGATGCAGAGACGAGAAAAAAGAAGGCAACAAATGGGAAAACGCGCATTTGCAGTTCAGTTTAGTCAAGTAAAAAACTGAAGGCCAGTTTCGAGATTAAACAGGGCATGGATAATAACACCATTTGTCAGTAGGAGGGTATCTGCGAGAAATTTCAATCTGAAGGACGCGAAAAAAATAAGTCTCATGTGACTACACCATTTCCAAGTGTGAATGTTTTGGCCAAATGACACTGACCATTTCTATTTCCACGAGAGATGTTTCATTATATATGCAGCGTCAAACCGCTAACAAGGAGGAAAATGTTTGCCGGTTCCGTGTGTGCCGTATACACGCGACTAATGCCACCATTTATAAAATTATATGCATTGTAGATCAATCATTCAGGCTCGCATTTTGTGAACAACTAACATAAGCGGGGCCCACTTAGGGAGAACGAGTTTTACCCGAGATACTTGGTTCACGTTTCACGAGTTCCCCATAGAACCCCATTGGGAAAAAGCCTTTTAGATCATCCAGAAGTTGAATATAAAACGCTATAATTTGGTTAAGAGATCTTCATTATAAATGATCACCATTTAACGCGAGCACAAAAGTTTACAGTTCTTATTGCAACGCAAATGTTTGTTTTCTCCTTTTTATTTCTTCCAACTCAAGACAAGCTCGAGTGGCTTTCTCCTCTTGATCTTAAGAGAAGGTGAAACGCTTCTTCCGAAAAATGAGATAGAGGTTGATTTCTGCGTTGTTTGATCCCGTAATTCTGAAGATTTTGTTTGTTTTCCCGAAGATGTAACTAAACCCGATAACACGCGAAAAACGTCCCACCAGTCTTTACGTCCTAAAAGGATCTTTCGGCCGCCGTGCGCGTGTCGCTCGTGAGCAATTGCAGGCTTGCCACTCCCCCGCACTGGCAGCAATCATGGCGCCTTTTTTTTTTCCTTTTTAAAAATAGCAAGACTCGCGTGCATAACTTCGATAGGCACTGAAGATCCGCGAAAGCGGAGATTCCGGAAACTCCGTTTATGATGGCACGCTCCGGGAAGGAGGGGCTTCAGCGGTACTTTGAAAAGGGTTTATCTCCCAGGCGAAAATTTCTAACTGGGACCAGTTGGCACCTCAACCGGTTTCAACTGGGACTAACTGGTCCCAACTGGGAATCAACTGGGACCAATAGGAGTCCCACTCGGGACCAGCTGAGGGGCCAACTGGTTTGAACCATTCCCAGTTGGGAGTCAACTGGTTTGACTCCCAGTTCGGAATGGAGGGAACTGGGACCAGTTAGGAAAGCAACTGGTTGGAGCGATTCCCAGTCGGACTTCAAATGCCTTTCCCGTTCCCAGTTCACACGGGGCAACAATTTTGACAAGTTGGGGGTGTATTGACCTTGGCTAATGAAGAAAACTAAAAACACTTAAATTTTTAGATTTATACAAATAGGGAAATGTTTAATTACTGGGTACATTTTTATATTTATGAAAATAATATAAAAATTTTACTGAACTAAATAATTTTTTTAATTGGAAAAGATAATTAGTGACAAAATGCGTTCAACTAAATGAATATTTAGTGCATCATTAAAATATATTAAAACATTTATTTAAACACCTACAATATTTTTTTTTCTTTTAATAAATAAATTTATCTTTTGGCCAATCAGAGCTAGCCGGCCGCCGTGGCATGCGGGTGCGGAATAGTGGTACGCGCTGTCGACAGATGGCGCTGCCTATGCTGACGCCGGAGTCGGGCGGACGCGGTAGAGAAGGGTCGCCATCGCCCAAGTTGGCGTCGTTATGAAAATGTCAAAACTACAGCTGCACTTCTTTGGACCTAACTGTACACACACTATGGTGGCGGCTGTGAGCTTCGAGGACGAAAAGATGCAGTTTAGCGATCGGAGGGCACGCAGGAAAGACCGGACGAAAGAAAACGTCGCGGAGAGCACAATGGCGAAAATGGCGAGAGGTCTACCTCGAAAATGTTCGGCTGTTGTGACAAAAATTGCAAGATGGGAGCGCTACCACATTTTACCGTATCCCATCAGGACTTCACCTGCGCAACGCGGTATCACGGGTGAGCACCTTTCTTCACGCGATGGGGAGAGAAGCTGAGGACGTCTTCACTAATAGACACCAGCGGCCGATCTTCCTTTTCATCTCACGAATACTACCTCCGAAAAAGCGATTCAACCGTCGCAAGCAAGTGGCTAAACCCGGAGCGTGTACGTCACCGAACCTATTATTTAGTTTCATTCTCCAAGTTTTTGACAATAAAGTCTTGTCAACCTTCTATTTTGTTTCATTGTAGCTGGAGTTGGTACCAGCGGTAACTGGGACCAACTCCAACTGGGACCAGTTGTAACTGGGACCAATTCCAGCTGGGATCAACTCGAACTGGGACCAGTTGGACAACTCCAACTGGGACCAGTTGCAACTGGGAATTGTTTCATAAACCAGTTGAAAATTTTCGCCTGGGCTGCTGCTTCTATGCATGAAATTGAAAGATAATTTCAACATCGGGCTTCCTGGAAGCCGAATTAAGACAATATAAGTGTGTTTTCTCAATTACAAAACCGCTTCAGCTTCCCTTTGAAGACGTCTTATCTTCAAGACCGCCATAGCTTTACACATTTCGAATCCCTCGTTAGTTCATTCGTAGTTTTGTTTATGCATTTTTAACAACTTCTACACACCTCCTCTCTAAAGTCTTCCCGTACCCTGAGGGCATGGTTCAGGCTGGAATATGGCTCTTATTACTGACTCTGTTCAGCCCTGTTCCGCCAGCTTTTCAAAACCAACCTTAGGGGTCGGGTTTGGTACCTGGTGAGAGCGATAGCATTCTCGGTTACTGATTGATTGGACATGGAGCCTCAGCGTTTTGCTCTGCGAGAGTTATCGACAAGTGCGAAGTCATGCTACTAGATAATCTCTAGTCTGTTCGCGAGTCCTTTTGGTGAGAGCTTCTCACTAACTAACGGATGATGACAGGGTTCTCGAGGTATTTGAAGTATTTGTCCCGAGTACTGCATACATAGGAGAACTTGACCTAAATAGGGCAGCAGAGCTGGAAATTTGCAGAGGGAGCGCTTGTTGTCGATCCCATCGAACGGGAAGTATAGCAGACCATTTCAGTTTCAGCTTGCGTCCCGTATCACTTCCTCGCGGCACTCGGCTTTTAGCAGACGGCTGCCTTTATTCCGGTCCGTTAACAGAATATGTGAATGTATTTTCTTGTTCTATTTTTGTCTGCGAATGCCGCTTCGTAGCAGACGAATTCTATTGTTCACTTACGTTAGCAGACTAATCATCTTCCGACGTTTTCTTGACTCGCTCCGTAAAGTCCCGGTAAGACTGCTCGTACAGCAAGCAAAAAGCAGTCTGCAAATACCATCTCAGGCGCGTTTCTTTCTCGTGTCATCTCACATTGGGCCTACCAAAACTGTCTGCTGACGTGTTCAAAGCACCCATACGTGTGTGCTTTGAACAGATCTGCAGATATTTTCCTTAAGACCCAATATGAGAGTACTGTCATAAAGGAACGAATTTTGGCAGTTGACACACTTGTCACTGCTTACGACCGGAGGGGCTTGTGAACCATCTTGTGACTGCTGATGACCGGCCGCTGCGCTGCAGGTCGTAAGTAGTCGCCAGTGTTTTAAGCATCTGCGGTTGTAAGCATGACAATAAGAAATTAGTATACCTGCCTTTACTTGAGCAAACAATAAAGCAAACACGCAGATAGTGCACGTTGTTTCACCGTTTTAGAAATAAGACACCACTTTCAGAAATTCTACATAATAAACCAAAAGTAAGACACACTATTTAGTTTGTCCGCATTAAGGCATACTCTGAGGGATTAAGCAGTTTCAATCAATAAATGTATGAAAGGCTTTGAAAGGGGTGGGAGGGGCCCCGGGGGGGGGGGGGGGGGGCGGGTGAGGGCGGTAAATAGGCATAGTGAG